TCAATTTCGTAATACATGATTTTTGTGTAACTTTCTCCGTTTACGCAGCGCACGTAAGAAAAGCTCCCAAAAAGTAAATTATTCTCCAGTTTTTTGGTGCTCCACTCCTTTTAGTTATAGCGTGATGTTATATAGCCTATAGTGTTCGTCGATAAATGAGCTATACAATACAAAAAAAAAAACAACCATACAAACAAAAAAACTCTTCATCTTTATAATTAGTATATAGATACGACTAAATTAAATCAACACGTTTCAATTTGAAGTTTTCTCTTCTATCATTGTCAATTTGTTTTAGACGGCGAATGGTTTAAAACAAGTACATTCTAATTTTAGCACCTGGTTTAAGCCATTATCCAATTAAGTCAATTCGTATCAATTAGACGTGTTCTCTTTGCTTTGAGTGACCAATGGTTTAAACCAACTATTTACTTTAGCCCTTATTTTAATAAGATGATAAGCAAAACCTTATTACGACTTTTTTATATTTACAGAACTTATTATTTTCCCGAATCTCTCTTAAATGAGCCCAGCTGTACTCATTTCCTATGCAAATTATTGTTTTATAACAAGAGGAGCAGTTGTTTTTTATACTTGTTTCTTTTCACTTAAACTTCATGAATGAATGTTGTTTCTGCAACTCGGTAACGACATTTAAATTTAGTTGAGTTTCGAAGCTTGTTATAAGTATGCACCAGGTTTAATTTTATTGGTTCTATTACATTTTTTATTTGTTGTTATAAGTTTTCTAGATTCAAGATTAAAATAGCTTATTGTGTACTTTCAAGGTAACCGCAATGAATCTATTCAATCACACCATAAAAAAATATTCAGTCATACTATTAAAATTCTTTATTACTGTTGTAAAACAAAGATTTTTTACCGTTCTGTTTGCTTACTATGCCATTATGGCAAACCTTAAGGTAAATTTTACAGGTAAAACATAATTTTTAACTAAGTCACTATAACCATTTATTTATTAGTTAGGTATTTGCCTTTTAAATAGGGTTCAATTTTATTAGTTGATATAACAATAAAATATAAATGGTTAAAGTTACTTAGTTAAGTTTCAAAAGAGTTATTTATGGTTTTGGTATGTTACATGAAATGCTAAGCTAACGTATTTAAGTTATATAGATGCTTATTAGGTTTTCTAAATATATCATCAACTTTTAACTGATTCTGTATAAAGAAACAACATCTAAATAAGCTTTATTTAACAATGAAACAAATATTTTTGTTAAGTTTCTATTACAGGTAAATCGTGAAATGATACCTAACGTCGCATGGACCTCATTCGAATTTTTTGAAATAGTGACATCACCTTGGCTGACGCATCATTACTATCACCAGGATTACTCACAAATCAACTTAATTAATCCACATATCAATTAAAAACAATAATTCGGTATTCACAATTATCAACAACTCTCATCGCCTTCCAAATAGGTAATGTCACAAAAATGGTCGTCGTTGTAGTTATTTCATTTTTCCACAGGGAAAATTCATTCATATATGTATGTCATTTTGTAGCCTCGGGGAGGGATCAAACTATTGTGTAGCATTATTATATTGGGAGACATGAGATCTTAGGATTGGGGTTCAATAGCAAGCTCGCAGCGTGGTTCAGTATATAAGATACAATTTTATGGCTCTAGTCAACCGTTCGCAGTAGCTAGGTCTCGGTTATCAACTATCTTAATAGTGTACGACCGAAGAGGTCCAGTGATGAGAGTTTTAGGGTCAGCAGATGGGTCCGAATCCAGCGCGTCAGCACCCAGATGATATGTAGTTTGGGGCGAGTTAGGAGCTAGGGTTCCAGAACTCAGATGTAAGGTTGATGGCCATCTTGAAGCTTCCCAGGGAGGTAGGAACACTAAATTAATAAAAAAATATTGTCATGGCTATCAGGTTGGCTCATCACTGATCTTAAGACAGTGCGAGGTGATGAAGCAGGAACAGATGAAATAACGGCATGGGTAGTGATTAGTGAAGAAGCAGACAAACAGGCAAAAGAAAAAGGAGTGTGCAATTTTTAGAAAATAAATGAAGCCAGTGGGTATTTTGAAAATGCCACATCCAAAAGCACATTCTAGATTTTTTGGCAGAAATAATTCGTAAGATTTTTATTTATTTATTTAGAAGGTTGACTTAAACACGCCTATTAATAAAAAGAAGGTTGACTTAAACACGCCTATTAATAAAAAGACAATGTCCATGGCCTTGTCCTCTAGTACACAATTTATAGTCTAAAGGGTTTAAGTCCGAACTAGCCAAAGGCCAATCATCAGCCTTTATGAAGTCTGGAACATTTTGCTCAAGCCAAATTTGGTTAGTGCGCGCCTTATGACCCGGGGCTGAATCCTGTTGGAATGTCCATACCTCGTTTTTGAATAAGGTGTTGTTGAGAGGTTTAACTACCGCTTCTAACATGGTATCTTGATACACTTTGGCTGAAGTTTTCACTTACCCTTACCATTTTCGCTAAAATGGAGTTTTGTAACCCCTTGGTAGGAGACAACACACCAAACCATTACGTATGCTGGATGATGACCTCGCTAAACTTTGGCCACTACCTCTTATTACTATAATTTTGTTTGTTGTAGTGCTCCTCGATTGTAAAATTTGTTCATCGGTAAAGAGAATTTTTCTGTGTTTTTCGTCCGCGTATCGAAATAACAGCTGTTTTGATATTTCGACTCTCTTTTGTTTTAGTGCCTGATTTAAGGTATGTCCTGTGTATCTCCGGTAAGCCCCTAAACCTATGTCTTGTTTGATAATTCGAGAAAGTGTCCTCGGTGGGATTCTCATTTCTCTGGAAAGGATTTTCTGCTTCCTTATGGGATTTCGACGAATTCTGGCCTTGACAGCATTGATGGCCTGGTTTCTTCGATTAGTCGGCCGGATCTCTCACGGTCATCAACAGACATGGTTTCAGTGTACCCTTGGATGGTCGATACACAAATATTCGGCTAATCACTAGCTTTTTCAATGTATCAAAAATGTCGGCTGGCTCCTTACCCATTTTGTACAGTGCAAATAAACATACAATAATGGCGGAGAAGAAGTCAATTTTTATCGTAAAAGCTAATATTCGAAATTCAAGGTAATGTTTTTTAAATGTATGTAAACAGCCAGTAACAGAATTTATGTCTAGACTAGTTACATGTTTACATTACGCTTCCTTCACTTGAAATGTAGTCACAAGTGCGTCCACGGCTTTTGTACCTTCCAGAAAACTGGATTGAACCTGCGACGCGAAGAACAGCTTTGAGTAAGACTAGTTGTCAAGCCTGTCGCTGCTTATCTATTTATACAATTATTTGTTTGTCTATCTTCGACAACAAACTTGATATTAACGGTTTTTAGAATTAAATAAGTTTTTAGAAAAATTATTATAATTTTTAAAAATTATAAACAGTTTCCGATAAATTAATTTTAAGCCGTTTTGCGGCGCAGTTCGCTATCCTATATACCTATCTATGTCATTGTCGAATTGTAATAGACAAGGACAGTATTTTTGGTTTACACCCTCTCATAGTCTGATATTCGGAGCGTGGTCAGTTAAATAAAAGACGTTCGTTCAGAATAAGCGATGTTTATTGACTGCTTGAATCAATACACTACATCATAAATGATAAATCTTAATAACATTTCATCCATTACTAACATTTAATTTTTAAAAAAATTACACTTTAACATTGCTACAATATAACTTAATACCTTCGATCGACAGAAACTTAATACATTGGAATGTCTAGTCAAAACAATCTCGGGTTATAATAACAAACATTGTGTCAGTATTGTAAGTCACAGAATGAATGATCTAAAAAAAATAGAATTATAAAGTCTAAGTATTCAATCATATCAATCTTAACTTTAAATGTATTTTTTGTATTATATATTTTTTTTTATAATTATTTAATAATGTTTAACATATATATTCACATTAAGTAGGAAATTAAATATATATATATAGCAATTATAAACTTATGAAAATAGAAATTAAGGTAGAGCGCTCTATTTTATCATAATATTTTAATGGTATTTATTTACCTTAATTAAACTTTAACTGCTCAAAGCATGATTTCGTTATTTGTTTACATTTTTACAACAAACGTTATTTTCCCTTATATAACTGTGTTCGATTTTTAAGTACAATATCTTGTATGTTAACTTTTTCTATTCTAACATGTGTACCTAGGCCCTCTATTACATTATATGGTCCTCAATAAATTGATTGACTTTTATCGCATAGGGCCTAGGTACACATGTTAGAATAGAAAAAGTTAACATACAAGATATTGTTCTTAAAAATCGAACACAGTTATATAAGGGAAAATAACGTTTGTTGTAAAAATGTAAACAAATAACGAAATCATGCTTTGAGCAGTTAAAGTTTAATAAAGGTAAATAAATACCATTAAAATATTATGATAAAATAGAGCGCTCTACCTTAATTTCTATTTTCATAAGTTTATATATATATATATAATAAGATTATTATTTTGTAAACATGCTGTTACTGGTTTTGAAAATGAGTTAAAAATATCGTTTGTTACTGTAATTATGTGCCATGCTGGTGATATGTGTGAAACCTATAAATAATATCGGTAATTATTAATTTTTTGTATTCACAGGTGTTTCAGTCCGCATAACCTCATTGTTGGAGTAATGGTTATGTGTTGTGCTATAGGATGAATTTGTTAATGAGCATAATTTCTTTTTATAATAATATTTATTGACTTTATTTAAAGTGGTTAACCGAGATAACGAATTCAATGATACATTTAAAAACTCAGGGGAACGGTCTCTTTCTCATCGATTCTGTATATTTTGATGATTCCATCGTGACTCATTGTGTAAAAAGCGATTATTCAAATCAAGGTATAGACGGCATCCTGTACATATCGAATTTGTGTTTCTTTTTAATAGTAAGTTACAGTTACAGGTAATTTCGTGGGCATGTTATTGAGCGTTTGTCTGGTAAATTCTGTATCATGCGGTCGCCGCATATAAGGTGAAAACAGATAAATTTTATTTTAAGTGAATGAAATAAAAACTCTTTTAGTAGATTTTTTTATTCTTTTACAGTTTAATACTCGTATTAGGGGTGATTATAGCTTCGGCTATAGAAACAAGGAAACCAAATATAGTGTTCATTGTGGCTGATGATTTGGTATGTATTTAGTGGAGTAGATATATATTTTAATTAGAATTTCTATTGAAATAATGTTTTCGTAATTATTTTTAAATCATATCTTGATTTGAAATAATACATTAAAATATATGCCAATGAAGAAATATTATCGACTTCTATATGAATTTCTCAGGGCCAGATCTAGGTGTAGGAGGGGTTCTAGAAGCTAGTTTTTTTTAACCGTATTATATAATCATCATTATATAACACGGTTAAAAAAACTAGCTTCACAAAATGTCTTTAAAAAGTATCTGCCCTGGTTGGAAAAGTTGTAGATCTGGATCTGGAGTTTCAAGACTATTTCTTGAAGTCTACTATCATTTTCTTATCGCATAATAGATAAGGGTATTGTTTTATATTTGAATTGTGAGCCACATATTATTTTTTGGCATAAAACTTGATGTTAAATGATGCACCCTTGCATTCTTACACGAATAGAATGCATTCATCGTTCTAATGATGGAACATGGTTTGTCAATTACAATTTCAGGGTTGGGATGATGTGAGTTTCCACGGCTCAGATCAAATATTGACACCTAATATTGATGTATTAGCTTACCAGGGGGTAGTTCTAAACCAGTATTATACCGACTCTGAAGGAACAGCGTCACGATCAGCATTGTTTACAGGAAAATATCCTTCGCGTATTGGTACGTTGAAAATTATATTAATTTGAAATTATACATTTTTAAAAACAAATAATAACATAATAATACTTAAACAAATAGCTAGAGGGTCATAATAAGTTTTTGTAGATTATCTCTACTCATTTTTATAAAGAGGAAAACTTAAAATTTAAAAAATAGAAAGATTTGACTGTTTGTTTGCATCGAATAGGCATCGAAACTACTGACTCGGTTTTTTAAATTCTAATTACCTAATACGGCGTTGACATAGGCTACAACTGATACAGTGTTATTAATAAAACAGGTTTTTCGTTGGAGTAAATTTACGCTGTGACTGCACTTAGTATTAGTCAAAATTCATATTATTTAACAGCTACTTAGCAAAGGTTAACCTAGTACGAGGTTATACGGGAGTATTATTTACTCCTAGAATATAGTAGGTTTGCTTATTCTCTGTAAAATATGAATTTGGACTAATTCTAAAATTGCAATTTTAGCGTTAATTTACCCTGACGCTTAACATTTTTATTATTAACACTGTATCAGTTATAAATAGAAAGAAAGAAAGAAAAATGTATTTATTCCGGTGCACAAATAAATAGGCATAAAACATTTTATAATAATTACAATAAATTATATAAAATATAATTAAAAAAAGAAAAAATGCGTCACACATTGCACCGCTGACGCTGATTTTTAATTGACGCCTAATTGTCTCTTTTTGTCACATAGATGTCAAATTGTCGACAATGAAACCTCTTACAAGAAATTAAAAATTAAAAGTAGATTAAAATAAATTAAACATTACAAATAACAAATTCATTTAAAAATAGTAACTATTTCAATTATCATTATATATGTGTATTGTAATTTATTCATACTTTAAAATAAATTATCTATTAAATTCACCATAAATATAATTAACATGCACACATACATTTAATAAAAATGAGAACTTAAAATTAAGTAACTTTTGGAAATTAATATCAATCCAAATTAATATCAATTATACAATATGTTTAAGTATTAATGTGCTTAACAAACCTATAATCAAATTAATTGTAAATTCGTAAGCAAATAAGAGTTCATAAGGCTACTTCATTAAATTGCCACGCAGACGTTTCTTAAACCGTAAGAAAATGAACCCCTCTAATCCACTTGAACTGTTTTCTTTGAAACTTTTGATCTTGTTCCACTTATTATTCCTGAAATTGTTAAGGGCTCATATTAAGATTACATATAATGATTATGTTTAATATGATTATTTCTTTTAAATGTGTACCTATAAAATGACTTAGTTTAGCTCGAAACTGGCACCTTATCATCAACCATTCGGTCACAGAGGTATACGCTATCGTTTGGCTAATATATTTTTGGGCACAGATTATAATGAAATCGTCTAGATTTCTTTTCATCTTTTCAGTTGGCAAGAAGCTTTTAGTTAAAAAATCATTAATTAAAAATTAATACAATTATTATTTTAGGAATGCAAGGAGTATCCATAAAGGCTTCTGAAGATAGAGGCATTTCAATATCAGAGCGTTTGTTACCGGCACACTTACGTGAATTAGGGTATAAGACACATTTAATAGGAAAGTGGGGTGTCGGAAAATCTAGAGCATGCTATCTCCCGACCAACAGAGGCTTCGACAGTTCCTATGGCTTCTCAAGTGACGCTGTGGATTATCTCACTTACAACACTATAGAGGTTGGTATGCGATTACGATAATCTTTACTTATGGATCATCTTATTAGGAGGCATGCTATACAAAAATACTTAAAGTGTGATTGTGTCCTAATCCAAAAACGGAATTTAAAATTGGAATGACTATAGTACCTACATTTAGGAGTCAGCACAATATTAATAAAATCAGTGGAAGATTAACAATGCATTAAAGACTTCTGAAACTACCAGATTAAAGATAATTAACAAAGTCCCTGCGATCAAAAGCGCCAGGTCCATTGTTCCAGACACCGCAACGTAGTTTCAAATCTTACCTAGACAATTTTTTTATAATACTATTTTAAAGAAGTTAAAATTAATAATCATATGTTTTAGTATTCGGTGGGCTCTTACTACACAAAAAAGTGGTTCAAGTTCAATAATTAATGAAAATTAGTGTTTTTGTACTTATTTACTCGTTTCTTAAGCATTATATTATATTATCTCTGAATATATGTTTACATCTTTTTACAGGAATTAAACGATACATCGTTCTTTGGTTTGGACTTATTTGATAACTTAGATGTTGTTGATGATAAGAGTGGACATCTGACTGATATTATCACTAATAAAGCAATTGATAGTAAGTAAAGAATTAATTTAGTTAATGGTTTCTAAATAAATGAGTATATTTAACAATCCGTTTAAGAAATTAAGTCAGTTAATACATATCAACTGTAAATATAACTCTGTAAAGATATTCACATGTACAAGCGGCAACAATCTTGGAACCACCACTTCTCGCGTTTCGCCCCTCCATCGAGCATCCTTAGGAGTTGTTAGACTAGCCTTGTCTGCAGGTCTTACAGCTATTGGGCTAGGTGCGAAAGTTGCTAAATATCGTCAGAAGCGGATTTGCAGGCTTGGCTGCCCTAGAGCATGTAGTACCTACTTTTTAGCTCTCATATTTTAGTCACTGCATATAATTTTACTTTCTCGACAACTATTTCATTCCCATTCTTATCTCAGTTTAGTTAAATCCTAATATATGACCGTCCTAGACCTGGGCCTGTTGCCTCACGATAAATCTGCCACTGTATATCATAGTTTCATAGTTATAGCAATGAACATAGCGCAAGCTAACGCCTGATTCTATTAAACACAATCAACTGTAAATGTTATTATACATTTTGTTATCATTATTAAAAGTTTTAAAAATATTCAGTTATAAGAAATCATGATACAAAAGAGCCGTTATACTTGCATGTGAGCCATGCTGCGCCTCATATTGGGGGAGCATTGGTTACGTTGCAACCGCCTTTGGAATCTGTGGAGGCAAACAAACATATCTCACATTCTGCTAGAAGATTATACGCAGGTACGTTGAACTCATACTTATAAGTATAGATAGATAAAGTATCTATGTACAATTAACAGAATGAAAATAGAATTGTCATTAATTAAATGAATTTAATAAAAATTAAAGCAATTATTGATACAAATTGGATAACTTGTAAACAAGAGAGGATTTTATTTTAAGCCATTAGTTTACAGAGAATTTTGAAATTAACACGATCTCAATCCGGAAGTGGTTTTTAATTTTGTGTAATTCCCACATCTTGAGTTGTTATTTTATAACCGAAATGTCATTATTGCAGGATTAGTTACAAGTTTAGACAACAGTGTCGGTCATATCATAGCAACTCTCGCTGAAAGAGATATTCTTCAAAACACAATAGTCGTTTTCGTTTCTGACAACGGTGCACCAGCTGTGGGAGCAGCTAAAAATTTCGGGTCCAATTTTCCGTTTCGTGGTACCAAAGGATCGCCATGGGAAGGAGGAGTGCGTACCATAGGATTAGTATGGTATGCTACTATGGCACTAAGAATTCATAATAGTATTTTTCATGTAACTGATTGGCTACCGACTTTAGTTACTGCTGCAGGAGGAAATATAAATCATAAAATTGACGGTATCAACCAATGGGCTGTGTTAATGAATAATGAAACACCTCAAAGAAACGAAGCGTTGATAACAATTGACGATTTAAATGGTTGGGCAGCATTCAGAGAAGGTGGTTTTAAAATAATAATCGGTGATATAAATAAAGACATAAGCCGTTATTATGGGAAACAATATAAACAAAGCAAGTCGAGAAAAGACTTTTCACTTTTGTATGAAGATGTTGTATTAGAGTCTGAAACAGCACGAGTGTTTAAAGAAATTTTACAATTGTCATTGAGTATCGATTTTATAAATAGTAAAAGATCCGATTTAAATGTGACATTATTTAGTCGAGAGAGCGATAAAAGTTTACTTTGTTTACCTACAAAAGGTATAAATACATAATAATTTGATGGTGCCAATTCTGTTGTACCACTCATAAACCTAATTAGATTTAATTTGTTCTTGGCTTTATTTTAATACTGTTCCATAATCACTTTTAATCTAATAAATATAATTAAATATTTAAATAAATATTTAACAACATCACATACATTGCTCAGATTCCAAGATGAGTAGCTAAAGCCCCCGTATTATGGAGTATCTGAGACAACGAAGATACCACAACACCCAGACCCAAGTCAATATAGAAAAGTTCATTTTCTACGTTGACCCGACCGGGAATCGAACCCGGGACCTCAGAGATGGCGTCACCTTGAAACCGGCGTGCGACCCACTCGGCTATACTCCTGTACTATTTATCATATTAATGCCACTTCTGTTTGTTCAGTTATTTATAATATTGAAAACGCCGGTTGATAGAACAAAATAAATTAAGTCCAGTTTGTGCAACACAATTGCTACCACTAGCAGAATATGCTTTTGTTTATTGAGATATTGTCTACTCAATATTAAATGTCTTTTGTTTTACAGCTAAAGGTTGTCTGTATGAAATCAGTGTGGATCCTACGGAAATTAACGACTTATGGTATACATTACCAGATGTCGTAAGACGCATGTCTTTGCGATTGAGATCTTTCTGGACTGAGTCGAAGGCTCGTCGGCGGCCACAATCGGATCCGAGAGCGGATCCGTCCCTCCGGAATTATGTGTGGTTTCCGTGGGTCAACGATGAACAATCCAATCTCGAACCACCGCCGGTTCCAATGTTTCCGTTACAAGTTTCTTTAGGAGAAATGCAGTACCTTGTAGATCTTAACTTTAATCTGCTTAAAGATAAACTTAATACGTACATTGGAAATGTAAAGGAATCCATTACTGAAAGTGTTGGTAAATTGTTTTATACTTAGTTAATAAAAGGTTATGAATGCAAGAAATAAATTATTATAAATATTTTGTAAGAAAATTACTAATTTCATTGAATGTTACTAGGATAAAGTTGTCGTAGTTTAAATTAAAAAAATGTTTTAAGTTCAAATTTACAGTATTAAAGTGGCGCTTACACAGAACAAAGATCATGCATCCTTTGTTTTAGAGCCGATGTCGCAGGTCTTGTCCCACATCGGATTCGCGTGGTAAAGGATGGTCTTGGACACATGACCTTGACCGAGTGTTCTGGAGTCTCTAACATAATTAAAACATGAAATAAGTTTTATCAAATATATATATATATAATAAATTTCTTAGGGAGAAATTTGCGCTTTGAATATTTAATACGTACGATCTAATTAAATAAAAGCAAGCTTGTTAGGGGTTAATTACTAAAAATAACAGGCGAGGCGAAATTTGTGAGCGGATGAGGTGTCTCGTCAGCGCTCCCTTGGTGGCCCTTTGATCAGGCAGGGCGTGCATTAAAAAGGAAAATTTGTCAGCTTTTTGGAATTGTACGTCTGAAAGAGCATTCGTGCTTATTATGCTTAACGTGAATGAATACGCTTTAATACTCTTGTAACACCTACAGTATGTCGCCTCAGGAATATCAAACATTCAAGTTTCCAATAATAAATCATATGATTCCATGATGTGTTTGTGATGTGATGACATTGCGGGGTGATAAATATATATTTATAACTTATTCATTTTGAGGCTTCATGTTCGTGTTTGATTATTCTAAGGGAATATCGAATAGGGAAATAAAACATTTCCTTTTTTGTTGTGTGTGTCGTGAAATTATTTTATTTCAATCGGAAGAACTGTCGCTCAGATATTGTAAGGTACTGGGGTTTCTTTATCTTCTGATGACGTCTATGACAATTGATAATTTAAAGATAAATATTAACATGCAGAATGATTTGTAAGACACCAAGAAGTACGCAGGTCTAAATAACCAACATTATAAATAACTAGATGTTCTCTCTCGACTTAAACTGCATCCATACTAATCTATACCAAAATTTATATTATATACATATTTATATTATTTATATTATTATAAACGCGAAAGTAACTCTGTCTCTCTGTTACTTAATCACGCCTAAGCCACTGAACCAATTGCATGAAATTTGGCATGAAGATATTTTAATACCCAAGAAAGGATCCTACATCTATGGAAAGTTTGTTGTTCGAGGTAAACGACGTCACTGTTTTTATAGTTTATTTCACAAATGTTTAAAATAGTAAAAAGTTGTTATAAATGTTTGTTAGTTGGTGGCTTACGCTTAACTAACTCTAATAACAATTAAATTACATTATAGCGGAAAATGCTGATCCGCATAAATACGTACTTTGACTCGAGCCACTTATATTGTGCGGTTGCATAACCGTACATGCTCCCGAGGGCGAGATAAAACATTATACAATTATAATTATAAAGCAATAAAAATGATAAGCTATTATTTGAACAAATAATAAGTATTGTCTATATCTTATAAAATTAATTTTACACAATGCACAGCACTAATCACTGTCACTGAATAGTTTGTTAATAACAACCGGTGACGTCGCTTTATTCACACGAGCGTACAGGTTCGATTCTTGACTCATAGTTTCATCGAGAGTACGGATGGTACTAATCTGTCTTTTAGACACATGTGGACGTTGAGTGAGAGGAATTGGAGGCTCTGTGGATGGTTCATCTTGTCCTGTAGATGAAATTGTTGCAGAACAGCGCCTACGTCCGCGCCGCCACAAGTAGGTAGCCACTGCCAGGAGGATTCCCCCAGCCAGGACGTATAACACAACGTACTGGTGCACGTCATGTGTAGTGAGGGAGTTCAGGACTTCATCGTTCTCGTCCTTCTTCATTTGTTGGATACGTGTGTCTATTACTTCCAATTCTTGTCCATACGTTCCATACTCTGATCCATTGATACCTTTAAGTTCAATCAAAGGTATACTTGTGTTAAAGATGTTATTAATCGGATGTATGTCGACCTTGAGAACAGGTGATTGTACTGTCAGGCTATTAGTTTGTTGAGTATGCGAATATATTGTGAAGGTTTCGCCCTTGATGACGCAGCCTTCCCCGAGTGCGATAACGCCGGCCTTGCTGATGCGCTCAGATGCAACTTGATCCTCGCATATGATTCTTATTGTTCGTTGTCCGCAACAGAAAAATAAATATGTATTTATTTTATTAAGCTGTTTCCACATGTCCATGCACATTAAACGTTTTGTTTCGCATTGATCTGTATATTTTATCTTGACGCAGAGATTTTCGTCTGACTTAAGGTGATAAATTGGATGTTGTAAGGGGCACATAAGAGTTTTGTAGTTATAAGGCGTACATAATCGTAAGTCAGATTCTGTAATTGGTATGTAAGCATCTTTCTTTAAGTTTATGGCAACATAATCAGAGAGCGGTTTAATTTTTGCCATAAATGTTTGTTTTTCTTGAGGAATAGCGATCAAATTGTAAATATCGTAATTATCACGAGTCACGAGAGGTATAGTAATTTCAAATATAAAATAATTCAATGTAATTCTTGCTTTAACACTCAGTAAATGATAGAGTGATCTCAAATCGGCTTGTATATCGTCAATTGGGAGGGTGAGGTCACTTGAAAGATGTCCCGAAATAAAGTTCAGTTCTTCGGCTAGTTGCTTGGGACTCAATAGATGAATGTCGAATTTTCCATAATGAATTTCTGTGATCGTATCCAGTAATGTTTCCTGAAGTCCTTTTAAGTTTTCCAAAATATTATTAGCTATAATAGACGTCAATGTGAAGTCACTTATTTTTTCTATGTCTTTCATTTCTGTGGCTATTGTGTTCACTGCCTTATCGAGTTCAATAATGTGTTGATTATACATTTTATGCTGTCGCTCTATAGACAGTTCTACTCTTTTTAATAAATTGTTTTCGGCTTCTACTATTGAAGTTTGGTTTTTCCAAAGTTGTACAAGATGTTTTTCATTATCTTTTATCAGTTTTATGTCATTCTCGTATTTTTCGGCGAATTGTTGGTCTAGTAGTCCGAACAATTTGTTTGCTGCGTATCCGATTCCATCGATAAGTCCCCTTCTTTGTCTTGAGCGTTGGGCTTGCTGAATAAGAAGCATGTCGCTGTAATAGTTTAACTCGGTGAGGCCGTGACGTAATTGTAACAGGATGACGTCACATTGGTTTCGTTGCTTTGAAGTGGCACATATATTTTCTAAGTTAGTTATGTAATGCTTGAAGGTTTGTATTCCGTGCCAATAAGGATCCATGTCATAGAATACGATTAGTTTCCAATCGTCGCGCACTAGGTGCATGTCCGTTATCTTATCGAAATACAGACTTTGGTTATAATTGAGATTTGTTAGGCTGTATTCACATTGAGCTGGTGATATTAGAATTGATAAAATAGACATGATAGTCCATACAAAATGGCATGATAATTTCTTTGTTTTCTTACTGGTTGGTTTTTCGTTTTGTTGTTTTTGTTCAGTTGTAGAATTTTGTTTTCTTAAATTAAAGTGGACTTCTTGTTTTTCTTTATTTTCCAGTTTCGACGCGGATAGTTTCGATAATTTAGTGATGGGGCGTTTCATGGTGCCATTTTTAGTTCGGATGGTGACTACTCGGACATACCCGTCTTTGCCCGGGTGTAAGTCGACGACTCTCCCGAGCGCCCATTGTCCAGGTGGTAAATTCGCGTCGTGAACGATTACTACATCGTCGATGTTCATGTTGTCTTTTGCTTCCCGCCACTTACTCCGTGGTGACAACTGAGATAAATACTCTGATTGCCACCGTTTCCAGATATCTTTGTATATTTTTTGTACAAGTTGCCACCTTGTTCGCTGATCAGTTTCAGTTTCAATTATTGTTAAAGTGGGACCACTCGCGAGAAAATGTGCCGGTGTCAAGTAGTCGAGATCGTCAGGGTCTTCGGTGAGTGGTAGCAGTGGGCGGCTGTTAAGGCAGGCTTCAAGTTGGGACAGTAGTGTGGAGAGCTCTTCAAAAGTTAGTTTTTGTTCACCTATGACTCTACGAAGGTGGTACTTTAGGCTTTTCACTGCTGCTTCCCAGAGTCCTCCTGCGCTCGGCCACGATGGAGCATTGAAATGCCATTCTATCTGCATTTCTGTGATTGTGGTAAAGAATAGTGGATCAAGCAGTTTTCTCAGGCTGAAATATTCTTGTTTTAGGATGTTGTTAGCGCCGACGAAGTTGGTACCATTATCACTGTATATGTGACACGGAGCTCCTCGGCGGGCCGCTAGTCTTCGTAAAGCAGATAGAAATGATGACGAGCTGAGATCCGACACTAGTTCTAGATGTATTGCCTTCGTCACCATACAGACGAAAACAGCCACGTAACCTTTGGTAGTTTTTATTCCTCGGCCTTTGTTTGTTTTTACATCGATGTACCCAGTGTAATCTACACCGGTATGATAAAATGGTCGCGTGGGGTTGCATCGTGCTGCAGGCAGGTCACCCATCAGCTGTTGCTGTTTCAATGAATTATGTCTTCGACATTTCACGCAGTCATGGAGTCGTTTTTTGACAGCTCTTATGCCGCCGATAATCCAGTATTGTTTTCTCAAGTTTGCTGTCGTAAGGCGTGCTCCTCCGTGAAAGGTAAGAAAGTGAGCGCGATCAATTAATAAGTCAGTGTAGTGGCCTTCATGAGGAATGATGATTGGGTGTTTTTGATCTTCATGAATGTTGGCATGGCTGATGCGGCCTCCCACTCTCAGGAGTCCATCTTGATCAAGATAAGGGTTTAATGGTAGGAGTTTGCTTTTTCTGTCTACTGGTGTTTTCTTTTCTAAATTGGAAATTTCGTCTTTAAATGTGGTAAGTTGTATGCGTTTAATAATAATATTTCTTGCGTATTTGAGTTCTTTTATAGTTAGGTAGTGCGGCCGATGTTTGTTACGTGATATAGTTCGTAGCATCCACGCGACGATGCGCGTAACA